GGGAAATTCACGGTATATTGTAAACTATATGTGATAATACAACATTAATTACTTTGAAATAGCCAAACTAAAACATCAACAATGTAACTAGCTCTTTACTGCAGGTTTCCTTAGTGGTGCACTATGGGTAAATAATATGTGAGTCCAAAGAAAACAAAAACCTAACACCAGGCATCCTATTTATGGATTATAAATCTTGCATCTATAAGAACACTTCTGCTTGTCTGTAATGCATAACAGGCCCTGCTGAAGGAAGAGGGGAAGGTAAGCAGTAGATGAAATAAAAACAGGGCTTTTCCTATAATAAATTTGGAGTGGCCTTTTATCCTCTGAAATGCAGCCAGAAACCTTTGACAAATAGCCACAATCCCTCTAAATTCTCACTCCCTTTGAGGACTGTAAGAAAACTAGGAGCTGCTGGAGGTTGAGTATTTGCAGTTTTTCCAGCAACAGAGAGAAAGTTGTCAAATCCGCTACCGTAGCAGCGAACTAAAATAAGATCGGACTGTGTTAATATGCTTTGTCCCATAAGATTCTTATTTTACACTTAATTCATTTGCTAAGGTGTTAGGAGAAAAGTAAAGCCATAGGGGGGGAAAAAAAAAAAATCAAAAGAAAGGAAATCCTACACAGGCAATATTTATTTACCATGTATGGCAGATAACAGCGGAAAAAATGTATCCGAAAGATTTTTGAAGGTCTACAGGGATCTTGTAATTTTCAAAACATTTCAGCTTCTCGCTGCCCCTTTCCAAGTGATTTCTTAATAGAAATATCAACAATGCCCCCCATTAGTCTCTCTCCCAGCATCCTCTTTTCCTGAGACATGTCTCCCCCTCCTACAAATGGGGCCCTCTGCATGCCATGAGCAGGCCCATTGCCATGGGAGCTGGGATAGGTACTGCAGCTGGCTGAAGCCTAATTACATTCACTGTTAATCAAAGGCTGTTTTCTTCATCTGACAGGGCCTGGGAAGCACATTCTTATGTTGTTAAGGTGCCTCCGGGGAAGCCAGAAGAACAAGCAGTTTGACAGTAACAACATGCTGGGCCAAGGGAGAGGGGGGAAATGGTGGGGAGACAGTCAGGGCTGACAGAGGGAGATGATTGGGAAATTCCCTCCAAGAGCCCAGGGGATGTAGGGTCAAAGAGGAGGAGAGGATTTTGAAATGAAAGGTTGTGATCTATGGAAAAAGATTAATTCACACAATTCACCTCCCACCCACAGTGAGGGTGTCCCCCATCTGATGAAACATCTCCTCCTGTCCCCTCAGCAAGCGTTCATTTCATGGCAGAGCCAAACGCTTTTGAATATGCTAGTTATTATGAGCACAATATTGCTTCTGACTTGACTCCATCATGGATTAAAATGACCATTTTAGGACTGCATGAACTTGTGACCTTTTCCAAAACAAAAACCAAGTGTTTGGCATTGCTTAGAGGTGTTATTGAGGGTTGGCTGAGAGTGAGGAGAGGGCCTCATGGTGTTATTATTATTATTTATAAAGCACCAACAAATGTCCCGGTTTTGCAGAGCCGGCTTTTTCCCCATCAAAGATCTCCCTCACCGGCACAAGGCAGTTTGCAGCTGCACAGGGAGGAAGTAAGCTGGGCCTGGGAGGCAACACACTCCTCCCACCAGCAGGCATATCGGAGCGTTACCATGGCAATGCTCTGACACTTCACTGTACTCGTGGGAGGAGAGAGTAGTCAGCCTGCAGCTAGAGGAGCTGCTGGCTGAACTCCCAGAGGAGCTGCAGGCTGCGTGCCACCACTGGACCACCTGGGATTCAAAAGTCCCCCCTCCCTACTAGCCAAAGGTAAGACAATGGGAGGGAGGTTAACATAAATTAGTTTTATTGGTTAAAATTAATTAATTTATTTTTTTAAATATAAATTTGCTCCGTTATTCCCCTCCACACATTGAAACCCTACTAACACTACACCTCCCCCCCACACACACTGAACACCTACATACTACACCCCCCACACACTTAACCTCTACACACACACAGCACCCTCCACACACACACTACACCCCCACACATGCACCACCCCCTACACACACACGCAGTACCTCCTACACACACAGCACCCTCTCCACACACACATACACACAGCACCCCTCCACACGCACACACTCACCCCACATACACAATGCATGCCACACACACTGCAGTCTGTCTGTGTGTGTAGTCAACAGCCTGTGTGTGTGTGTTCAGAAGTCTGTATTCAGCAGTCTGTATGTAGTGAGCTGTCTATGTGAGTGTATTCAGCAGTCTGTGTGTGTGTTTGTGTGTATGTATTCAGCAGACTGCATATATATATTTAGCAGTCTGTGTGCACTCAGCAGTCTGTCTGTGTGTATTCAGCAGTCTGTATGTGTATTCAGCAGTGTGTGTATTCAGCAGTATGTGTGTATTCAGCAGTCTCTGTGTGTGTATTCAGCAGTCTGTGTGTATGTTTATGTGCAGTGGCGTACACACAACCCATGGGGCCCTGGTGCGAAAGTGATCAATGGGGCCCCACCCTCCCTCCCTCTTCCCCCTTGTAACTCCCCCCTGACAGACACACACACATACATACAGCGACACAGACAGATACACACAGACACATACACACACGACACATACATACAAACAGACAGGCACACTTACATACAGACACATACACATACATACAGACAGACACAGAGAGACAGACATACAAAGACACATACATACAAACAGACAGACAGGCACACATACATACATACATACAAACAAACAGACAAACACATACAAACAGACACACACAAGACACACATATATACAAAGACACATACACACATAAAAGCAGATAGAAACAGATACATACAGACAGACACATACATACAAGCATACACCTACATACAGACAGACACACACACACATACATACATACAAGCAGACAGGCACACATACATATAGAAAGATAGATAGACAGACACATATAGACAGAAAGACACACAAAGAAGACATACAAACAAAGACACATACATACAAACAGACACACATACATACAAACACACACACACACACACACACACATAATATTTAAGTCACTCTCCTGTTTCCTACCTTTTAGGTGCAGGAGGGTGGCTTTCCCTGGGGTCCAGTGGTGTCAGGCTGGTGGGAGTCAGAGTTCATACTCTGTGCTTTGCCTGGGGGCGCATAATGTTGTTAAGATGGCACTGGTGATAAGCTGAGAGCTTCAGCTGAGCACCGGCCGCTTGGTAAATATTCCTGTTCACTGTGATGGCCGGGAGGATGGATGAAACAAGGCAGAGATGTTGACCGAGAGACCAACTTTAGGGACAAACCATTCAAAAAAGAGGAAAATGGTTTAACCCCTGAAGACAACAGCCGCATACTCCTGCCCCCTTAACAACTTCACTGAGCTGATGTTGTTATGAAGGTAGAAATATTCCTTTAAAAATGGAATCCTGTAGAATGGATGCAGTGTATGACAGGTCACTCTGTACCATATGTTCTAAGTGTCCCTGTTTAGGAGGTAGGGTCCCCGTTTTGGGACAAAATCACTCCATCCCTCTTTTCTACCCTAGTGTCTCTTTTCTAGGAGCACTGTATTGTTGGTGTGTCTTAGTGCATACCAGAGAACCACAGCAATAATACTCACAGTAATGTGTCTTCAATCGATAAATGGTTTTAGAAATCAGTCTGTGTAAATAAAATGCATTGTTCTTGTGCTAAAGTACCTTTGCTTGCATACATTGTTATTAGTAAATCACCTAAAATTTCACAAAACAGCCCCGCCCCTGCACACTCCCACTCACCCACCCCCCTTCCACCCCCCACCCCAAATTAAAGTATCCCTCTTTGTCTATTTGAAATGTTAGGAGGTATATTGTACAGCTCCAACTGTAATGGTTTCTTCCAGACAAGTCAAGGTATGTCCTATTATGGAGCACACTAAGAGCTATAGGTTGCTTCCTCAATATGTTTTTTTCCCAGACAGCTACTTCCATATGCTGCTGGAAGGTACATGATCAGCTATCCTCAGCAGTATGTAGAAATCATATGCTGCCAGAGGAAACCAGTTAAGGTGTCAACTCTACTAACACTTTATCTCTGCTGCCACCGTGGCTTTCTATTGGCTGAAATGTCTGAGTGCGTCAAATGATTATCATGCTCTTGTACGTCTGATCTCTGGTTATCTACAATCGGGAATTTTTATAATTAGAATCTTTGTGTAAATGAAAGAGCTGTTTCTTAATAAAGTATTTACTGCTTTCACTTCTGCATACTAGTCATAGAGGTATTGGTGGTAGAGTTATTGGTAGAATTGTTGCCAGGGAAACCTGCCAGGCAAAACAAAATCTCTGGAGGGAAACCTAGGGAAACCTTGAAAAGACTAAATCACTGGGTTTGCCGTAGGAGTCTAGCCAGCTGTGTTTCAGATCCAGCAAAGAAGGATGCCAGCAGCATTCAGTGTTCCCCTCCCAAATGGACCAAGGTATCGTCATCCACTTATTCTAAGGTATGATCACAATGTAACAGTTTTGTTTCTGATTAAAAAACAATAACACAATCTGCATAACAAATTAATGCTTGCAGTTAAATATAGCCAGCACTCATATAATTATTGTTTTTAATATTATATTCATATTGTAAATAGTATTCACGTCATTTTAATAACATGTCTGAGGGTTAGAGTTGCAAAAATGTATTTAAAGGATCACTCTAAGCACTAAAACAACTTTTACGTAATGAAGTGGTTTTGGTTTGTATATCATGCCCCTGCCGTCCCACTTCTCAATTCTCTGCCACTTCGAGCCCTGTTGTTTTGGTGGCTAGACTATCCCTTTAATAGCTATTGGTTAACTGCCCTTCTAACACTCCAAAAAACAAGAGTGAAAAAAGGAGTGAATAAGTAAAACAGTGGACACTATTGTTAAGGTATGTTGAAGAAATTGACAACTGTTGAAAATAAAAACACCTAAAAATTTTTTGTATAATACAGTGGCAACTACCTCCACCCAGGCGCAAGGCCTACCCAGAGCGGAAGCCAGCCCGACGTCCCCAAGCCAAGAGGAGCCCTCGGCTAACCGTGGCCCGATCCCAGCGACACTCATGGGCATCTCTCCCGGCAGCAACGCCCAAGCCTGACACACAGCAAAACGCAGCCGTGCCACGGCCACATGGGCGAGATCCGGACGCAGCAGGGCCGGTGAAGAACCAAAGGCGGGAGTCCCCACACCAGCACAAACCTCGGCGACCCGATCCGGCTCGGAGCCAGGTACTTTCAGGGCAGCGGCTCATAATGGGCCATCCCAGCACCCACAGCTCGCATCCTCAGACGGACTCTCCTCAGTGGGCGCATCAGAAGCCTAACTCTCAGCCCTAACAACGGACCAAGTCGGAGGAACGGGAGGAGACCTGGGACGCAAGTACCCTGGACTGCCATGGGACTCAGGGTGGGGGCCTGCAGTTAGAAACAAGTTCCCCGGGGCTCACAGTGTGCCATCAATAGGCATTGGTTAAACAGCCCCAGCAAAACGCAACAAACCCCTAATACGAAGCCTCGCAGTATTTCTCTCAGATGTACAACACTGCATCTAGTCTTAGTGGAAACTGTGATTTCATCTTTATTTTGTGTTACAGTCGGTTTTTACTGTTATTCCTTCCGGGTATCAATAGATCTCTCATCGAATTGCCAATCTGTTTTCATGCCAGTCCAGCTAAGTTAGCATGATACCTATTGCTTATTACCCAATAATGCCAGGCTTAGCAACTACTAGGAACAAGTGACCCTTATCAGTTAGCAAGACAGGATAACCTGTATGTGCCTATCACAAAACCATTATGACTGCACTCCACCATTGATGTTTCATGCTACTACACCTCACTCAGTACATCTCTATAGGCCAGGTAATCCCATAAGCGAAGCTAATCAAATGCAGGAGGGGAGTGCCAGATTAACCGCCATCTGCAAGCCTACATACCCAGCGGCTACCAAACTCACGAGTTAATCATAGTTAAATATAGTTGCGCATAATTAAGCATGTTATACAACTTCTTATCAGCTTGACAACATAGAAACAAAAAATGAGGCACTACCATGTAGGAAATGTAAATCATTAACGCTAATGCTGTGATATTGTATACCCCACTCGTACATTTCCCTGTCTGTATCCTGTACCCCACCTCGCATGCCTTAATAAAGAAAGAAATTAAAAAAAAAAAAAACACCTGCATAATATTGTCCAGGCATGGACTCCACAAGACCTTTGAACATTGCCCTGTGGTATCTGGCACCAAGACATTAGCAGCAAATTTTATAAGTCCTACAAGTTGTGAGGTGGGGCCTCCATGGATCAGATTTGTTGCTCCAGCACATCCCATAGATCCACAATTGGATTGAGATCTGGGGAATTTGGAGGCCAAGGCAACACCTTGAACCCTTTGTCATGCTCCACAAACCATTCCTGAACAGTGAGACAGGGTACATTATCCTGCTAAAAGAGGCCACTGCCATCAGGGAACACCTTTGCCATGAAGGGGGGGACGTGTCAAAGTAACATCCACATGAATGCCAACACCCAAGGTTCACAAGGTTTTCAGCAATTTGAGTTACAGTAGCTCTACTGTGTGAACGGACTAGATGGGCTAGTCTTCGCTCCCCATGTGCATTAATGAGCCTTGGACACCCATGACCCTGATGCTGATTCACCAGTTGTCCTTTCTTGTACCACTTTTGGTAAGTACTAAGCATGGCATACTGTAACAATCCTCAAGACTTGCCACGATCCTCAAGACTAGCCATCACCATTTGGCCCTTGTTAAAGTCACTCAGATCTTTTCTCTTGTCCATTTTTCCTGCTTCCAACACATGAAATTAAGACCTGAATGTTCACTGCCTGTCTAATACATCCCACCCCTTGCTTGGGGCAATTGTAATGATAAAATCAATGTTATTTACTTCACCTGTCAGTGCTTTTAATTGTGGCTGATCACAGATTTAACACTGTTTTAAACAGTCACAGTATCATACTATGCTACTTAACTTTGTCATCCTCCTTTGCCAATGTTTGAGGTCAAAGCCACATACGTATATACATTTACACCACTCATGCTCATTCATATTATCCCCTATATAACATAGACCAAAGTATTGTACACCAGTAAACTAACATGCATATTGGACCACAGATGCATACTCAGAACATTGAGTATATCTATGAAACCTCTAATCTCCAACACTGTAAAATTCTACAATTCTACACTGTATTATTTTTTCTTGTTAAAAATATAATTTTCTTCAATTACTGAAATATTAGGTTGTGCCCTCATAATTCCCCTTTTCTGTTCACCTCCCTTATGAAGTAGTTTATATTCTATTGCTTGTTACCTTTGGCACTCGATTCACACCCTCTTTTATATTCTATTTATATTATTTATATGGGTCTCAGCAACTTCTGCAGCAATACATACACTGAGCCAGAGGTCCGAAACACAGTTAGTGTAATAAACAAACACACACACACATATAGCAGCTAATGAGAAATCAACTTTTTAACAATTGTCTGGAAATTAATAGGTTAATATACCGGCCTTTTATTTATGTAAATTGGATTATCTTATAATGTTCTTTGAGTTCTAAGCCTGGTTTTCAGTCTTTTGTCTTTCTATCGCTTTACATTATAGAGTGTTCCATAATGCTTATTCTTCACTTTCACCCTCTATCATTATGTCAATGCTCCTATTCATCCTTTGTGCCTGCATTCTTACAACTCCGTTATCTCCATCCCCATTTACAGTCATCTCCCGTGTCCATTTTTTTTCATTCTTTCTTTTCTATTCCCATTTCCCTTCCTTTTTTGGTCTTCCTTCATTTTCTTGCTTCCGCTATTCATCAATAATTCTCTTTCTCCATTTATATCTCGTGTGATTAACATTTCCTTTTCAGCTTCTCTCTACCTCACTTTCTTTACGTAACCTTTTCACTACAAAATTAGACATAGGCAGCTTTTTCTCCCTGGCTTTGTACATACTGCCCCATTTTCTATCCGTTCTGTGTGTGCCTCCTCGCATCTGCACACTGTAAATAAAATTTAAAAAAAGGCTAAATCTACACCCCTTTTCCTCTACCACCCTCCCCTCCCTCAGGCTTTCTGCGGACAAACTGCAGGTGCGTTTATTGCAAAAATATATTCTGCTCACATCGCAGAGCTGCTGTGCCAATGTTATTTTCCACATTACACAGAATGAGGATTAGGGAGGGGAGGCTTTGCAGTGGAATGGACTGCAGAGCTTTGAAAAGATGAAAACAAAAAAAACTGCAGGGAACTTTGTTGTAGCCGACACAGTGCTGCTCATAATATTATATTTGTAAGTACTGTTTGTAAAGAGCAGACAGTGTTTTCTGCGCTGTGTAAGATAAGAAGGACCATGTTGAGACTTGGATTTTGAACCCAGATCAGATCGCTCAGCGTTGAGTGCAGTCTTGGTGTTGTATGGTGACAAGGAGCAATATACTTCATCGTAAGACGACAGTTTATAGTATAATTTGTGATGGGATTTAAAGGATGAGTGCTGAGTTATGTTAGCGAACAACAGAAGTAGGGGTTACTAAATCACAATTAACTGCTCCTGTGAAATATCATTGAGAAGCCAAGAACAGTCACCACATCAAGAGGCAGTTTTCTCATTCCAAACCAATCTCATGCACAATTCTGGTGATTATCGAGCAAACCATTTTTTTGTTTTGTTTTTTTAATGAAAAATGTGCCATTTTTTTGTTCTTACCCTAACAAATTCAACCTGTTCAGAATTAGATTTTTCTTCCCAAAATATGTGCTGTTGGAACTGAATGCTACAATGTATCATCTGCTTAGAAATTTGATTCAAAAGACATTTTGGGAGGGTGTCGAAATTGGCAAATAACGGTCAACATAAATGCATGCATTCCCTAAAGGGGACAAGCTCGATTTATGGAAGGGAGTTTCCAGTTGCTTTCTGCAATTTTCCATTTTTGTTATTTTTGGTAAGGTTTGCTGTTTTTTTGTAGCTTGAATATATTAGTCAATCTGAAATGATAATTTTATGGCAGAAAAGCGTTATATAAAATAACATCCATATTTTAGGCAGCACGATGATCTTTTTATTTTGGCTTTCAGTATAAAGTGTGCAAAATTCTAATAATAATAATAAATATATATACATACTCATTTGTTAAAGGACCACTATAGGCACCCAGAACACTTCAGCTTAATGAAGTGGTCTGGGTGCCTGGGCCAGCTAGGGTTAACCCTTTCTTTTATAAACATAGCAGTTTCAGAGAAACTGCTATGTTTACACTGAGGGTTAATCCAGCCTCTAAAGCCTCTAGTGACTGTCTCATTGACAGCCGCTAGAGGCACTTGCGTGCTTCTCACTGTGAAAATCACAGTGAGAAGACACCAGCATCCATAGGAAAGCATTGTAAAAGCACGTAAATGCTTTCCTATGAACTGGCTGAATGCGCGCGCGGCTCCTGCCGCGCATGCGCATTCAGCCGATGACGTCGCTAGGAAGGAGGAGAGGAGGAGGAAAGCTCCCCGCCCGGCGCTGGAGAAAGGTAAGATTTTAACCCCTTCCTTTCTCCAGAACCCGGCAGGAGGGGGTCCCTGAGGGTGGGGGCACCCTCAGGGCACTATAGTGCCAGGAAAACGAGTATGTTTTCCTGGCACTATAGTGGTCCTTTAACCCCTTAAGGACACATGACATGTGTGACATGTCATGATTCACTTTTATTCCAGAAGTTTGGTCCTTAAGGGGTTAAATAGATTTTATTCTGCCTCTGTTAAAAGATGAGTTTGGCACGTGAAAAAAAACAAAAAACAAAAAAACTCTGTCCCCTTTTTATGTGACACGTGAACTATATTGAGAATTCAAAGTGAATTTCAAAATGAAGGTCAAATTGGCCAAAATGAAAGTCAACAATGCTTCTACTTTGGCTACTCTGGCCTTAAATTCAAAATTCACTTTCTCTCTTTAGTGAATAACCCTGTAGGTTAGTATTGACTGTGTTGTAATAACCCAAGCACATTAATTATGCTACTTGTTATGACGTCTATTTGAGATGTATGAGACTCTAAATTTCGTTTTTCTGAGATATGTTTTCTTATTTTGTCAAACACAGAAGGATGAAAGCTTGACTTGAAACAGCCATGAATTAAGCCTGCAACCATGAGGGGCACTAACTCACCAAGTTCTGTTATGGAAATAAATACACGAAACACTGACCATGATAAGCTCAAGACGTCAGAACATTTCTAACACCTCCCAGCAGTCTATACCAGGGTTGCTGACATGTAGGATTGCCCAAAATCCCAACAGACATGTAGTTTGGAGGAATGGACTTAATTAAAACAATGATCTACCATGAACAAGCCTTGAAGAAGTCAGACAGCCTCAGGTTCTAGATAGTCTCTGGAACAAAGTCACACCTAGCTGGACAACACTGGAATAGTATACTGTCAATGAGTCTCTGCAGTGGAAAGAATAAAATATTACTTTCATGAAATACCTGTTGTCACATAAAAACTGTTTTTTAATAGATAAACCTATTGGTATTCGTTTTGAATTTTAATAAATAATTATAAACCTGTCACTGCTTCCCGTTCTTCTGCCGGCGTGGCCGTACATAAACTAAGTGGCCACACCAACAGAGATATTGTGTACTTACCTTGGTCGCAGCAAACCGCTGCCTGACCTCCTTCTGTTCCCGTCCCCAGCGAGCGACGTTCCTAGAGACGCCGGCCGCTGAGGTTCTGGTTTTAATAGGAGACTCACCTTTGCCCATATCAAAGATGGCGCCAACATGCGTGCAACGTCACGTCATAGACACACACACACATTTTGGGGTCAGAGGCCAGAGACAACCAATTACAGCCTCAAGAGGGTTATTTAAACCCAAAGTACCTTTTGGTCAGTGCCCTGTCGTGGTTTCCACTAGCTGGTTATCCAAGAGTGTGTTTGTGTTTTTTCTGTATTTTGACTTTGGCTTTGTTTTGACTTCCCTGATTTCTGGTACCCTTAACTTATGGCTTTTCCTTATCACTGTGTCTCGTTCTGTGTCCCTGACCTCGGCTAGTTTTCTAACTATTCTCGGCTACGTTAAGTCTGGCCATTCTAAGGTCCGGTAAGACGATACCCTTAGTTCTAGGATGTGATACTATTCTGCGTGCTGGATCAATATAATCCTGACAAAACCTTAGTTCATTTCATCATATTATGAAAGGTGATAATCATGTTCCATATTCCTCAAACAGCTACTTTTATCATATGTCACTTTAAGTGAAATAGCCTCAATCAATGCATCCCTCTATGCTCATGTATTATATTACAGTTGTCAATAGATATTCCAGGACACCACACTATATTTTGAGGCCCATTTAAGAGATAAACTTATATACAATGATTTAAGACTAATATCTGTCCTGCTATTTTAGACAAGATTTTTCAATTTTATAACTTACAAACACAAATAAAGTATCATCACATTCCCATAATGGAATCTTGCCCTGGCTGGCATCTTCATTGAGCCCTCCTGCTCCTCTCATTCTATTGATATTGCTCAAACCAAAGTAGCCATTGACTTAATTGCTAGATCCAAAGGCCGCTAAACTACTAATTCTTCTTGACCTTCTTCTCTGTTACACAGTGAGCCACCTGCTTCATCTCCATAACCACGAGCTGTATGACAATGCTCCTTTTTGGTTCTCGTCTTACGTCTACCACAACTCTTTTAGGGTCTCTATGTCTTTAATTTTCTAAGCTAAATCTTTCACCCCAAACTCAGTTCTGGATACACTTTTATTTTCTCTCTATGCTTCCTGTCTTGATAATCTAGTAAATTTGGATTTCAGTGTCGGTTATATGCTGACACTCAGATATACCTTTCTTCCTGATAACTGTTTTCTGCCACTGTTGCGCCCACTTTTTAAGATGATATTTCTTCCCTTTGCTCCACTGAACACTAATTCCCCTTTAACAGTCTCCTTTTTGTTCAATAGTTGGTAAAATCCTCCAAGGTATCAAGGGAATAAGTGTCTTCATTTCAAATGGAAACTATAAGTGGAAGTTAATTTTGATGTTCTTCGATCCATTGTCAAGTGCTAAATTTTAGATTATTATCAATTCCTCTAACTGATAGTCATGTGGGCCCTCTAGTACAGGGGCAAGCAACCTTTGGCACTCCAGATGCTGTGGACTACATCTTCCCTGATGCTTTGCCAGCATTACAGCTGTAGGAGCATATTTTTAAATATAGTCCACAGCAGTGCCAATGGTAGCCGACCCATGCTGTAGTCCATTCAAAGTCAAAAAGGTCTACAGCATGGGTAGGCTGTCAAGTGAACAGAGACAAACTCTATTTTCCCCTCAAACCTCCAGAAACCTCCAAATATTGCCAACTACGTCAACTTCATCCATTTCTAACATGATATTCATTCAAGCTTTTTGTTAACACATTCATTATTTCCTTTCTAGATTCCTAAAGCCAATCCTTCACGTCATACTTGAATTTGTTAACCTGTTACAGTAATCAATAAATGTCACTGCCAGCCATATCTTCCTTTTCTCACAAATCACACTCCACTGCCAATTCTTGTTCTTGAACTTTGTATCCTTTATGATTCAATGTAATATCCTAGTTCTCCCATAAAGTGCTCTCCACAATACCAAACCAAATTACACCACACCAACCAAACCAAATGTACTTTCCCTTACATTCCATTGCTTTACATATAATCTTCAACTGTCCTCCACTTTCATTTCCAAGTACAGCTCTCATTTATTATACTTAATAAAGTGCCAACAAATTCTGCAGTGCGGTACAATGGGTGGACTAACAGACAAGTATTTGTAACCAGACGAGTTGGATGCACAGTAAAGGAGGGAGTTGATAGCCCTGCTCAAAGGACCTTACATTTCACTTATAGAACTTCACAACTGCACTCTTATTCTTATCGAATGCCCTACTCTACTCTCCATTATATTTTACTCTATTTCCTCTCTATCTACTCTAAATATCCTCTCAAAAGAACTAATGATTAACTCCTCTTAATATGGTAGCCAACTGCTCAACTCAAACAACTTGCTCTCATTGTCACATGGCAATTGACTCCCTTTCTGGATATTTTCCCCATTTTACTTTGGGTGTAATTTTAATCTCCTCCTCTAGACCAGTGGTTCCAAAACCAGTCCTCATGGCCTATCGGACCACAACCAGACTTCCACCACCATGACTACTTTAAATCACTTAAGTAATCATCATGGATAGAGTAACCCTTTATAAGAGATTTATGGTAAGGGTTAAATGAACACTTTAGGCACCCAGGCAACTTCAGCTCATTGAAATGGCCTGGGTGCAGTGCCCCTGTCAGTTTAACCCTGCAATTGTAATTATGGCAGTTATTGATTACTGCAATAATTACATTGTAGGGTTAACTCCACCTCTAGTGGCTGTCTACCAGGCAGCCACTAAAGGTGCTTCCGGGTCGTTAGGATCGTCTCTGCATGAAGACATCCAGCATCAGCTAAAACCCCATAGGAAAGCATTGATTCAATACTTTCCTATGGGGTAGTCCTAATGCGAACACAGCACTCACCACGCATGTGCATTAGGTTCGCGATGCCAGCGGACGCTGGGGGAGGAGGAGCAGAGGCGCACTAGCACTATAATTTCCCTTTAAGGGTTAGTAGTATCTTCAAGATGATGTGGGCTGAAACTCCCATCACTCTCAGTCGGGCTGACATCATGACAATATTAAAGGCTAGAACTCCTAACCCATTCCCTAGATCTCTTGTCCCTAAATCTTCTAGGTACCCCCCACTCTTAGCTTCCCATAATGCTATAGACTGCCCCCACCCTAACTACCACCCTTAGTAATGATGTTTTTTGTGCTATTTTCATTTAAAACTCTCCATTTCCACCACATAAATTGAGCTATGGGTTATTTATTGCTTAAATTATACTATTATGGATTTTGCTCAGGCAATGCTGTACACAACCTACAGTAACCTTCCTTGGAATCTGGAAAAGACTTTCAGAGGTCCGTAGCAACACGAAGATCACACAGTTCCAAAAGCACAGTGAATTCCATTCAGATGGGTGATCTTCTGCCAGATGTCTGTCTCTCTGCCCATCCTCCACTCCACCATCTTCAGATTACAGAAAGGTCACAAAGCACCGTCTGGACATTAACTTCTAACATGCCAGACCCACAGGTTAAATTGCATGCAAAATGGCAAAAATTAATTAGTGTACTAGTGAGGAGCCAAGAATATTAAATGAAAATGAAAATCAGTTGGATGTCATGCAGTTGGATTAGAAGAGGAGGCAGCTACAATACAGTGACAAAAGGAAGCATGTTTACCAAATGACAGAGGAGAAGGTTAGACATTGAAGTAGCAATAAAGTGATCGAGGTTGTCGGGAGACAAACATTAAAATATAAACAAAAGGATGAAAACTGACGAGGTCGAAACAATATAATGTTGAAAAAAAAAAACATACTGATTTTATTATTATTGGTATTTATATAGCGCCAACTTATTCCACAGCGCTTTACAATATTATAAACACGGTGAAATTTAACAGTAAATGAGACAATTACAAAATGTTACATGAACAATAGGTTGATGAGGACCCTGCTCAAACGAACTTACAGTCTAGAGGAAGTGGGGTATAAAAACACAATAGGAATAATATACAAAATAATATAAAAATAATATTTTAAAAAACACACATTTATGTTTATTTTTAATCAAATTGGAATATAGAAGATCTGTCTGTCTGTCCATGTATCGAACTTAATTGATAAAAAAATTGAAATCCCTTTTCTGGGGTTAAAATAAGTACAATGTGAAGAGAAAGAAAAGTTGAAGGGTAAAAGACAGAGATATTTTTAATAAAGTAAGAAACAAAGATAGCGACTGCTTGAAAAATCCATTTAAATTCACAAAGAGTGATGGACATTGACAGACACATTGACAAATTCTATTTTCTGTAAAAGGCAATGCCATTTTCTTTTTTTCTGAGAAAATGTTCTACTCTAGGCAAGAGGGGATTTGGCTATAAAATAAATGATAAATTAATCACAGGTAATAGAATCTAGGCTGTAAAGGGATGGAACAGAAGAGAGCACAAGAGAACTTTGTTTATAAAGACAAAGATAAAGAAAGATCCAGACTGACAGAAAGAATGCACTACTTACAGATAGCGCAGACAGAGAAGTCCGTATACTGCAGATAATGGAAACCAGGCAGATAATCAGAAATAGAAACAGACAGAGTATGTGAGCGGTGAGATTGTGTTTGTAGTGTACATACATTTCTACAAGGTTATTTTACTTAAAAGAAATACTATAGTATCAGGAATACAAACATTTATTCCTAACACTATAGTTCTGGAATACATATTTAGGTCCCCTTCTCCCCTCTTTGTGGAGATTTAAGGTTTAAAACGTACCTTTTCTCCACCGCTGCGCTGGTCTTGCCGTGGGTGGCCCGCATCCATGGCTGAGATCATTAATCTTGATGATCTTAGCCAATCCAATGCTCTCACATCAGTAAGCATTGGGAGGCTATTGCGCATGCATAT